AATATTTTTGATCGATGTCCCCTTCCGTTTTTGCATCATCATATTCGCCGCTACCTCTGCAAGCTTGTACTATTATCCATTTTAATTTTCCATTTAATTCCTTGATTTTAAAAAGAGGATTGAGTAGCAGTTTTTGTATGGAAATTAATTTTGGTACGTCTTCATTGTCTTTTTCATCCTCTTCTTTGTCGTAAGCGACTGTTTCATCTTCGAAGCCATGCGATAGATGAACTATACAAACATACTCAAACTGATTATATTTTTCCTTCCAATTTAATTGTACTGCAAGGTAAAAATAGAATTAATAATTATTTATTATATTATAGTGTGTTTTCTATAATAAGTAATACTATTATTAAACTTAAATAATTTTTATTAATTAAGTTTAATTATTAATTTATTAATACAAAATAATCTATATCTTTAGTGGAATTTACTAGCGATGTTATTTGCTTGCATTTCACAACTCATGCAGTTGAAATCTTATTACAATCTTTACACATAGGTAATACCTATAGGTATACCTAATACCTATTAGGTATAGCATAAATAGGTCATGATTATCTATAATTCTTGCAGAACTTGCTGTCGATATTATTATTATCCTGCATTTTACAGCCCATGCAGTAAAAAACCTATTGTAATCATATCACATGTAGCATGAAATGGAATGCGATTTCGATTCTGATTTCGTGGGGGCACAGATTTGATCACAAATTTTAGTATGAATTTCAATATAATGAACTATTTTTCCATTATAGTACACTTCTCGATATATTAACAGTTGAAATTTGATATTTTTAACTTGTTTTTGACTTTTTTTACTCTCCCCTTTATTGATATCCCCTCCTCATAAACTGACCTGTTGTGAAATGAGATGTTGAGATTCAGTATTTAGTACATTCAGATATATCAATATAAAATTACCCTACAAATTATTTTCATTTTATTAAATTTTTTGTTTTTTTATTGATGAATGAGGAACATTGATTAGTCTTTGCAGTTTGTAAATATAAATATTTAGATATTTTTAAGATAACATATTAAACAAAAACTTAAAACATTCATTATATAAAGTTTTAAATAATTAAATTCTAATAGAATAATTATTCTTAGAATAAGTATTTGTTAATAAATTAAATTAAATAGTTCATTTCCATTATTTCTAATATTATCAGTATTAATATCCAAAAAAAAAACCTTAAGAAAATCACAGGTTTTTTGCGAGAATTTGAGAGGAATTCTTTAAATTGTCTATATTAGCAGTTTACAAGATATCTTGTCCATTGGGAGAAAAAAATATCTGCACTAGTAGTAATAATAGTAGCAAGTGATATAGTGATATAGCATTAGCATATAACATCTTATGTTTTAAGTTATACACTTAATATACAGAAAATAGATTGAAAACATATATATACTCTCCGAAATAAAGAGAGCACATCATCAGTACTAATAGTAGTCGTGGTAATAGTAAAATTCACATAAATAAACATACTTGGTCACCATTTCAGACCCATATATGTTCTTAGCTAAGCAGAAAGCTCTAAATATTTGTTGCGTGAACATGGCAGTCAATACACAAAATTTATTTTGATAATTTTTTGAAAAAAATTAAGCTTATCTAAACAATTCAGCTGAGAATTCTTTTACCATGCATATATTTTTAATAAATTTGGTTAGCATATTTGTGGACCAAGATTTTTCTTAATCATAATCGGTCAAATTACTTTCTCATCAGAAGCAGAAATGAAATTAGAGATGGGAAGAACCATAATTCATAAGTAATATTAGAGGTAGGAGTTTAATATCATTTTCTCATCATAACCAGCAATGAAATTACGGATGAAAAGAACGGTATGGATATAGGGATGGGCGCTGATATATTATTCTGTGAGAAAACATAACTTTATCGATCCATCGACAAACATATATATAAATTATAATTTAAAGGAAATAAATTACAGCATAATTATAAGCATCTTTTTTTCAAAAATATAATAATATTAGAACGCAGAAGGGGTGCTAGCAACCTACTACGCCTACCTGCATACACCTATTTCTTTATTTATTTTTAAGCTTATTTGTATTATTTGGTACTAAGAAGCTTAATCAAAAGATAGTTTTTATCACTTCTTATTTAGCGAGTTAAGCTTTAAACTTATAGAGGGAGAACAAGCAGCGACATTTTGTGGGGACTTGTACCTTTGCGTTACTCTTTATATATTAATTATTTATGTTGTAATTCTATATAGAACCTTTATTGACTAAGCGGCAAGAATTCAGGAAAATTAGGAAGAAAATGATTACTGAGAGAAATAGATTCATTTTTAAATTAAACCGGGATATTAAGCTTGAAACAAAAAGTCTACGTTCAGTCAAAAAAATAACCTTAATATTAATATTTCGAAACCTTTATATTTCAAAAGTAGTTTTACGCTTCTTAGACCTTTTATTTTTTTTTTGTTTTTTTATTGCAATTTATAAAGTGTTATGTATTTTCTTCTTTTAACATAATAAGTTAAACAAATTATCTATTTAAAGAACACTTAACGTAAGATTAAATTCCACGTAAATAAATATTTATTTTGTTATCAGAAATAATTTATAAAATAAACATTACCTGACCTATTCAGTGTAACTATAAAAATTATTGGCTACTTACACTTTTTCATTTCTTGTCTTATTTGTTTTTCGCTCCAATCCGACCAATTTAGAACATCGATATTAAATGGTTCGAAGGTTTTTATCAATTTATAGACATCTGGACTACTCCCTGCTCGATCTTTGCTTTGATTAACTATAATTGCTAAGCCAGGCAAAAACTTTTGTTCACTTTCAGCCATTTTTTATGAACTTAAAGATCAAGACTTTTAAGCACTTTTGTTGTATTTAAATATATCTATTGCACAACTCTTAGATATATTTTTTTTATTAATAAAAATTTTATTACTTTGTTTGTTAAAAATGCGTTTTCTATGTTAAACAATTAAAACAAAAACAAACAACGTGTTGCTATAGTCACGTATACCAGATACACCAACGGCTACGTTAGCTCACGCCAATCAATCGGAACAATACTAAATATTAAAAATTCTGTGAGTACTGCTTACTGCATGTATTGCTTTAAAATAATTATTATCAAACTGTAGAGGCACTGATAACCACACTATAAACTTCTCTGCCGGCGATGTGCGAAAAATAGCTATAAACAATTTCTGGAACTAATACGCTCCGCACTCATTTGTGCTCAAACAAATATTTTTTGTTTTTTTTTTTTTGCAATGTAATATGTGTACTCTTCTGCACTCATTCACGCTCTTTCTCTCACTCTGTTATTAAAATTATTCTCTGTCATCTTAACAAAAATGTGTGAAATTCAAAATAAGCACTAAACGATTGTATAGTAAAATATGGGTTCAACAAATCGAAACCAAATCTGTTTGGTGGAAGTATTGTGTAAATTCCACTTATGAAATTTATTTGATTTAATTTCCAGGAAAGACCTCTATCAATGAAAGCGAATATCTGTGAGTCAGATCATTAATTTCTGCAGAATATATTCGATTTCAGTCATGGAAAGATTATACCTTTAAATTTTTGCAGCTTTCTTCATGCCGCCTAGTGCGAAATATAATTCATTGTTCATTTTGATAAGATAATGAAATACTTAGTAAATGTATTAAATAGAATTTGAAAATAAAATGTCTTCAGCGTTAGCTTAATTTTCTTTGAAATATAGCAATACTTGGTAATTACTCTTTCACTAAGTAAAATAATGAATTGATATACCAATTAAATGTATGGCTCACGCTAATCAAATTGAACGCTTAAAGTAAACATCAACTCATTATCAATGCTTTCCGCTATAATTGAAGTAATTATTAGAAAGTCTTCAAATAAAAAATTATTAATTGTTAAAAATGTTTAATGTATGTTTAATGGTTTTAATTTATGAAAATTAATAAAATTTCTTGAATTTAAGCCATTGTATAATTATAAAAAGCTACACTGCTATGAATTGTGGTACAAATCATTTGTTCATTTCTTTTTGAAATGTTTATCACAATAGTAACATGCAATATGCGTATTACTTCATAAATTAACACCATGACATCTACAGCTATCCCATAATACTCCCCTAAACCGACCACTGCGTCTTTCACTGTCTCTTAACGTGTCTTACCTAAGCATATGCCCTACAATCTGACTGAAAAAGAAACCTGTTTACATATAAATAGCTTTATAAAACAATTATACCATCATAAAACATTTTTGGGTTCAGTCCCATGTCTTACCATTAGCTTCTTGATATTGTGAGAACAATGCCAGCGCATGTGAAAGACATGAATCTTCCATATAAGCTTACTATTCAAGTCCATCTCCAAATATTTCACTTAAAGAGATAATGCCAACGTTGCTTCTTGAAGAGGTCAAGTGTATTTTAATAGGACTTACTGAAAGACCTTGTTCGTTGCGTTAAAAATCGATTTTATATAGAAATTTTTGCATGCTTATACATAACATCCTTAATAAATATTCGCATATATACTTCATTTACAAGCATACAGCAATTACTATATGCCATATACCTTTATAACCTCTTCAGTGGCACTATCGTCATATTTTTCAACTGTAATAAACACTCACTTTAATAGCACCTTACAAATGCAATGGACAAGTACTTTATCAATAATGTGACGTATAGGCGAAGAACATATAGAGCATATAGAGAACATATAGAGAAGAACATATATAATTGTCACTGTCAGAGGTGTTCTTAAAAACCCAGCTTTCAATCAATTATTCACCATACGAACATTGTCACAAAGGGCTCAATTGCAGGGTTGCTAATACTAGATGCATATTAGTTTTATATTAAATGTTAGATGGTAATAAAAAGATAAATGGGAGTAAAGTCTTGATAAACAAGTTTTAGTTATGTGGAAACTCTATAGATGTACAATTAGATATCAAATATTAAACAATTTTTATTAGCTTCTTCAATATGAAGTTGAATCTTAAACAAACGTACTTCAAGAAAAACCTATAAACGAAAATCAAAACAAACTTTGGAAGTATAATACGTATAAAAATTCGACAGGCTCTTAAGTAATCTATACTATTTTTATAATATTTATTTTATTATTAATTTATTATTTAACTAGCCTAGATAAGATGTTACCCACATCTAATAATCCAAACATAAGTTTAACAGATTTAAATGTTTTTATTCTACATAATTAATAATTTATTGCTTAAGCTTAGGTAAATTTTTTTAAAAAATATTTTGTTATTTTTTTTTGTTTTTATACGGACTTATTGGTTAATAGTTAATAGTTAAATAATGATTTTACTTTTACCAATATTTCGGCTATAATCTATAATCATCATCAGGGTACTATACAATTTAAATACATGTAACAATAATTTGGTCCATATTATAAAGAAACAAATACATTAACATCGAAACCATGAATAATTTATATATTTACCATATATAGAAACTATTTATACAATACTATGACAATAGATATAAAAATAATATATATAGGAAAAATATATTCATCCTCTTCCAGATTTGTCGATCCTATTTACTATTTATTTTAAATTTAATTAAATTAAACAAAAAACAATATGAATAGTTTAATTGACTTCTACTTTCTTCATTTATTATAAAAACCGAATCGCTTACAGGTTACCATTTGACGTTCTATAAAGTAAATCCACTTAAACAACACTTAGCATCGCATGCCAAACACATTTAAACTGTCAAATTACAATTATAACGTTTAGAGAAGCGGTTCCAATGTCATTTTCACAGCACATTCCCGTCATCTAAGCCGCGCTTATCCAATGAAACTGTGGTGAGCTTGTCATTTTATTAGGCATTAGATTTTGTCGGCAACGCATGCTCATCTCACGGACGCACATTAATTATATGCCACATTTTACATTCGTAGCTAGTCGCCACAAATCGTGGCTTCAACGCAATCAAGACTTAGACGCTTAAACGATGTAATAGTGTTAAAAATAAGGCCGGAAAATAGAAATATAGATGTAGTGACAATACTATTGAGCATAACCAGTTGCCGCCTTTGATTTTGGTGTGAAGCGTGCAATCCGCATCTTGTTCCAAGTGTTGACAATGAATGTCAACACTTCAGCGCTGCTAATTTATTTGCTCATGAAGCGCACGCTCAAATAGAGCAGTCAGTTGGACAATTATAGTACACTCCATTCTAAAATCTCAAATCTCAAATAATTGGAATTTGTGATTTAACGCAATACTTATTTGGAATATTTGTAACTGTTACACATTCCTTAAATAGCTGTTTACCTTTATATTATTCTTTATAGATTATTATTAAAAGAAATTCTTGTTATATGTCTGTACGCATACGTATATATATGTTATATATATGTATATAAGCATATATATGTATGTATATGTATGCAATTATACAGTTACGGGTATGCAAAATAATTTTTTATGGTTTGATAACGTACGGACTTACGTCTAATCACCGTGAAACTACACGTTCGTTTTCAATGAGCAGCCTGGAGGCCTCACCACTTACCTCATTAACCGTTGAATTATTTTATATATAATATATTATATTATATTGTACTTAACTTACAGTAACTGCGTATTGTAATTTTTGCTGGTACTACATAATTAATTAATTAAATTTGCTTAAAAATCAATTATAATTTTAATTCTTACAATGTTCTAATGTGAAGTACTTTCCTCTGCCTCTGCCTTCTCTTAAAGACCCATCAACGAACTCGTAAACTCTTATTAAAGAACCATTTTGTGGTGCTAAAAAGCATGGAAGGGAATGAATGCAACAATTTGTCTTCAACATTTTCACTACATACTTAACTGTGTAATTTATTATTGTTTTCTTTTATTTTGTTCTTCATTGCTTCTTTTCTTTTCTTTTCTTTTCTTTTCTTTGGTATACGATTTTGTTTAATGGCGTTGCACTTGTTGCCTCTTTGCCTATAATTCAAATCATACATTAAAATGTATATGATGTGGTGCAATGAATTATTTTCCTGGTTGCTACTGCAGCCATGAAACCGGCACTTATTTCAGGCAACAAACTTCAGGCTGTTGAGGTAGGTTAATTTTATTGGCCAAATAAGTGGGTATCAAATTTAATTTACTCTACTAACATAGCAAACATAAACAAAGAAGGGAAGCATAAGAGTTTACCATGAAAAGAATGTTATGTGTAAAGATCCAGTGACTGGCGTGTCAAAATAGGGTTAAGAAGCACACCAACAATTACCGAAGTAAAAACCAACAAAGACATCGACAATGGACAATGTAGACGTATTTCAATACAAGACCAAAGTGCATGGAGCGTTAAAGTGAAGCAAAATAAATAAACTTGTTTGATTGATTTCGAGAAAAAAAAAATATACGAGTATATATATAAAAAAAAAACAGCTATAAAAGAAAAAATGTTGCCAGAGGCAAATATAAAATGGCTTGGGTAAGGTCAAGTTATGCGAAATGGGTTTTAGCTGTTCCTTCAACAAATGAAATCCGCATAAATATTTAAATAGAGCAGTTAAAGTCGAGGTAAATTATTTGGTTTTTTTTTTTACATTTTAAAAGAAAAAATATAATTGTAGCGAGTTAATACTTAACTAAGCAGAAGAAAATGTTCAAAGCTTTAATACTCCCAACACAGATAGTTTTTGTTACTAATCATCTATTTATTATTTACTTACCTATTATATATTTTGAGAAAACTCTACTACTTTGAACTCTTAATTAACCATTTTAAGCATCCACAGATAAATAACTGTATCTACTATCAATTAGGATTGA